ATCGCAACCTACGTAAGCCCCTCCTGGACCACGTTTTTTTAATGCCAAATCAACTACCTGAAAGCTAATACTAAACGTTGCACAAAAAAATTTGAGACACACTCTCTGTGTTTCCCCACTGGTGTCACATAATGTGTAAACACGCGATGTTGATTTTGAAATATTGCTTTCAGGGTTACGTTTTCTGTGTCTAGCTACATTTCTCTCTGTAACTAAAGAACACAAGTGCCCCTTTTGTCGATCAGAATCAGCCAGTGCCCAATATTCTTGATGCAAAATACTCTGACGTTCAGGAGGAATTTTTGTTGAGCATTTAAATCTACATCTTGAGCAGTCAATAATATGTTGAATACGCTTTTCAGGAATAATTTCTTTTTTGCTATTTGTATAACTTTTACCACACATTCTTTTTTGTTTACGAATATTCCTTTCCCATGTTTCAGGTTGTGCATGACGTTTGCGGCTTTTTTTTGTTTTTGTCTCTATATTCATTAAAGTAGAATTTGTTTCTGAAGGCAATGGAGAAGCATTCGCTTGGTTATCGAAGTCATTGTCAGTTGAAACGTCTAAGTCTGCTGGGATAAAATCAGGGTCTGATAAATATTCAGTGGCTTTCACTTCATTTTGAGGAATACTATGGTCTTCATTGTTTTCTTGTAAAGCAGTATTTGTAATAACAGAAATATCTTCATTTGATTGAAGATATGGAACAGATTGGACTTGTTGCAAATGTAACCAAGAAGTTTCCTGTGCAGAAACAGCTAGTGAGTTTTCAGGTAGACTAAACTTTCCTAAAAAATAGTACATATCAAAATAAAGCATATATTTTTTAAACTGACAAAAGTTACCATCAGCATCTTCTCCGTATGAATTATATTCTATGGGTTTGGATAACTGGACAACATTTTGAATCTGTGCAATTGTATTCATACAGTTTTCTTCCACCGAAAAAATGTTATCAATGAGACAATTAGTTGTTGAATGATAAATGGAATTATCTTCATTTCGTTCAAGTTCCTCTAAACAGAAAAAGAAATACTAATATTATTTAACTAATATAAACACCCAACACAGGTCTTACCAAAGGGAATAATCATGATGTCATCACAGACTTGGAAACAACTTTCCTCATTTTCTTTGCAGCTTTCCATTGCCGGATTATCTCTAGTGTCACACGTTACCTCTAACAAAATATAAAATTAACGTAATTACGGGATACCGCGAAAACTAAATTTATTTTGTTATACAAATTATTGATCTAACAAGATGTTTAGCTAATAGTATAAAAATATTTATCAAAGAAGTAAGGTTAAACCGGTAAAATAATTATTTATGTCTTTAGTATACTTCTAGTACATTCTTCCTAAATAATTTCTAAAATAAATCACGTAGCATTGTAGTCGTTATTAGGTAAGTACGGCCCATTTTCTTAAAAATACAGTACCTATGTATACAAAGAAGCAATCAATAGATACCTGATGTTCTTGTTGTTTCGCATCCTTTTTTTGCTAATTCCACTAAAAGTTTAGCACGTTTAGACATTTTGATAAAATCACTACTTATTTTAAGTTCACTAATCACACAAAACAGTATTACCTTATTATTCGAACGTAAAAACAGAACTGCTATTAGATTACCGAAAGTCGTTATAACTGATTAAGAGACAGACATACGAAAACTATTTGCAAACTATGCACAAACATGATATATTTATGTTACAACGTTATCAGCTTGATTTCAAATCATAAAGAGCACAAATATTGCATGTCCGGACAAACAATATTTACAGCCATAATAAGTTTGATCATATGAGCACTAATATTGTATGTCCAAAACATACTATGTTTGTGCACTTCCAACGGACATAATATGTCTGTGAAGTCGATTTTTAGTACAAATGGGAAATACTATATTTAGGCAAGGCGGTTTAAGGTATTTACAATCATTTTTGACTTACAATAATTGTGCAGAACATTCATATGACCCTACTGAATATGTCTATGGTGATATCTTAAAATCAGCAAAAAGTGGACATACTATGTTTGTGCTTTAAACCATCGATATATAAAGGACGACTTTTCCCATCAATTGTTTGTGATATAAATAGTAATGGACCACAAAATGAAGTTATAGTGAAATATATGGAGGCAACTGGACCAAACTGGAAATGGCCAGAGAAAAATGATATATTAACTTATGAAGTGAAGGAGATAATTTCCAAAGTTGAACGCCCTAAATTAATAAATAAGAGAGGTATTTGTTCCTTACCGAAAATGAAGGAATTGACCAAAAATTTTAGCAAATCTTTAACTGTCTTAAACTTTATAATAGTATTTTGTATAATTGTATCAAAATTTGAGAATGGGTAATAGAAATTTTTTTTAGTTTAATTTCATATATTTTATTTGCTTAGCTTAATATAATAAACACTTTTTTATAGTCAGGGTTGTTTTACTGAATATAGAGTTGATAACATTTTTTGTTATCTCACAATCGGTAATAGGTTATAAAAAATCGGTAATAGGTAAAAATATTGCTATTAGGTCGGTATTAGGAAAACTTGCTCGATTTTGATTTAGTATTTTTTCTTATCAATTAAAATTAAAATTTGGAAAAATAATTTAATTATTTGGAAACATAATATAGTTATGTTCACATAAATTCTACGAGATTTTTGTAACCATAAAAATAATCCAACGAAATATTTAATTTTCCTTAACTGATGCGGTAATAGGTGACTTTACCTTAGTTTAAGTTTTCAGTAATTAAGCGTCATTTTGTCACAACATTTACATACGTTTTGTTTCTTAATTTTTAAATTGTTATCTACTGTACAGTGTAACGATAATATTTTGCCTACTACATGGGGTATTAATATATAAGGGGTACAAAATTGGGGACAAAAACTACTGGGGGTGGAGATAGGGCAATTAAAATAATCGAAACCTATGCGAACGGCACTTCGCATAGGTTTCGAGAACTGGGGTCGTGGATAAGTAAATGACAAAGGGGTTGGATTGGGGCAACTACAAAAATATGAAACAAAAGGTCATGAATCGCTTGGGCCAAACAAAACAAAAAGAAACAGGAAACACCTCTAGTAATTCAAAAAGAACGCCACTTCGAGATGCCTAATTTGAACCATTACAACAGCTAGTTGTACCATTACAACAAAATGTTAGAAAAAAGAATTTAACCTTTATTGTGTCTTACCACAAACAGTTACAAAATAGACAATATAAAAACACTATGTTAATAATTACAAATATACTACAGAATAAATTATTGCAAACAAAGAAATATCTTTTTAAAATAACTATCCCTAGAGGTTAACCTTTTTTTTTTAACCGAAACAAACGAATAAAAACAATATTAAAACTGGGTGTCATATATTAAAATTAAATTTAGAAAAACTGAACAAATAAATTGACAGCTAAAGTCAAACCTTAAAATTTTACCATTTATTAATTATTACAAATCCTTTAAATTTTAATGAAAGCAATTATTATAATTAGTAAAAAAATGTCTGTCTTTACTTTAAAATTAATACACAAAAAGTTACCTGAATTTCACTTGATCCCACATTAAATTTTCTGGAGTCATAACTGCAACTATACCTGGGGTTAAACTCTCTGGACACGAACAGAACGCCTGCAGCTCACACTGCGAATTTGACTGACTATTAAGTCGGCATTGAACACAAAACTCGGAACTTTTCCCCTTAAAACAAACTGGGACAGATTGAATTGGACTGCAATTACCATTAAATTGCTACTATTAACCGCTAGTATAATTATTTTCAATAACGTAGGACTAAGAACAAAAGGACATTACAAATTTGATGAAAAATTTGGACTCAAGCTAAAATGTCTGCCTCTGACAACCATTCAAACAAGAATAAGCAAGTATACTGCCGACAAAAACCGAAGCATAAACAAGACACTAAACAAGAATTGAAACGCGATTGTTAATTTGAAAACCCAGCATCGGGCGGTTTAAACAAAGAAATATTGATGAAAAGTACGCAGCTGCGAAATTAATAAACAACTCTAAGATGGTTTATATTACTTGGCGACGCTAAGAGCAATTGAAAATACTTTTTGCGTATTTTAACTTGTACGATAGGAAACTGGAATACATTAAAAATACTCTTCGATTTTTCAAACGTATATGAGGGGATTTCAATATATTACATATACGAGGGGATTCCAATATATAGGGAAATGGAAATGCTACAACAGTTCTTGCTAAAAAAGTTAAATTTTTATTAGAAATTACTTGAAATAGTGTGTTTCAGTTGTGTTTAAGTTATTATAATAATAAAAGTTTAAAGAGAATTAAAATTTTAAGTTTTTATTTTAAAAATGCAAGTGCTCCATTTTTCGTGCCGATGAGTGTAGATTATTATTTTTTTAAGCCTCGTCTGTAAATTATGTTTTATTGTTTTATCTACAGCATAATTCCCTTCCTATATTATACTACTGATGTATTGATTTTTAGAGTAACATAAAGTTTATATCTCTTGATTATTAGCTTTTATTGGACAATTAATTTTAGAACTCTTAAAATTAAACTTTACATTCCATATAAATTTAGCCTAACTGCAGTAATTTAAATACTAAAGCTTTATAACCCATGCATATTGCTACAGTAAATCTACCATCTGGTATAAAATAATTCAATGTAAAAATCATCAAGATCTTTTGTGTTTTATAATTATATGTTGATAATATAAACATATATTTTTTCGTAGAAATATGAAAATAACATTTTCCTTCTATAAGTTTCACAAATTCCTTCTGATCGCAGCAGGAAAATGGCATTTGCGACTTGAAAATCCATGTCTTAACTTCCTGTATTCCGTTTACGCTATAAGCATATACTACTTCTCATTCTTTATGGTTCAGTTGATATTGGTATCCATATATATGTATAGGAGTTGTCCTGAGAGAATTATGGAATTGTGTTGCTACTATGTCCAGTATACAAACGTATTGATTATGGGTTATCTCAGCAAGAGGCCTAAGATGAAACAGGTAATTAAAAAATGCACAATAAATATTCCAAATATATGCTCAAGATAAATTGGCAGAAATTCTTGGATCTTGATAATAACTCCATTTCTTGTAAAAACAGCTTCGTCAGTGTAAAGAACTTTCTTAAAAATGTATTATTTGCTTGTACAGTACTCACCACTCAAGTCGTCGCTGCACTTTCAGTGAAGCCATTTTTATTACCAGCTTCTTCTTCTTCTTAACGTGCCCTATAAGTCACCTTGACGTTAGCGATTAACATGGCAAAACTGTCTCTGTCTCGAGCTATTCTAAATAGTTGCTCAGCTTTCTTTATTCCTGTCCATTCCCTGATATTCTTCAACCAAGAGGCCTGCTTTCTACCAATTCCTCTGCGTCCTTCGATCGTCCATCATATTAAGTTGAAGAATATTATATCGGTCTCCCCTTACTACGTGTCCAAAATAGGCCAGCTTTCTACATTTGATGTTATCAAGCAGCTCGCGAGCAGCATTTGCTCTTTCAAGGACTGCCACATTTGTCAGCATAGCCGTCCATGGAATTTTTAGTATACGTATGTGCAGCCACATCTCAAAGACCTCCAGACGATTAATCGTGGATATTTTTAATGTCCATGCTTCGACACCGTATAAGAGGACTGACCAAATGTAGCATTTAACCATGCGCTTTCGAAGTTGAAGTTGCAAGTTATCATTACAGAAGAATGACCTCATTTTTAAAAATGTCGTGCGGGTTATCTCGATTCTACATTTTATCTCTTGATCTGGATCTAGTTGTTCAGTAATATGGCAACCAAGATATTTAAAACTGGACACTCTTTGAATTATATGACCATCAACATATAATCATGCATCTTGCTGTGCTAAACGGCTAAACACCATGTGTTTTGTTTTTGAACAGTTTATGTTTAGGCCAAACTCTCTTCCCACTTTATCAATGGCATATAAAAGGCATTGTAATCCATTCATGTCATCACTTAAAATAACTGTTTCGTCTGCATATCTGATTGTATTTATCAGAATTCCATTAACTTTCACGCCCCATTCCAAATTATGCAGCGCTTCTTTAAATATTCTATCTGAATATAAATTAAATAACAGTGGGGATAGTAAACAACCCTGTCTTACACCTCTTTGTATTTTACATATTTCTGTTGTTTTTCCGTTTATGCAAGCTGTCGCTGTTTGACGCCAGTATAACTTTTCTATGAATCGTATGTCTTGACTATCAACTCCTTTATCTTTTAATATTGTAATTAATTTGTGATGCTGTACTCGATCAAAGGCCTTTTTATTCAGTCAATAAATACAGCAAAGACGTCTTTCCTTTGATCTCGACATTTCTGCAGTAATACATTTAGTGCAAAGAGGGCGTCCCGAGTTCCCAGTCCATTTCTGAAGCCAAATTGTGTTTCATCCTGATCTTCTTCACATTTATCTCTGATTCTACTGTGGATGATGCCTAGAAATATTTTCAGTGTGGCTCATAAGGCTTATCATTCTATAATCACTACAGTTTTTCGGACGTTGTTTTTTTGGTATTGTTATGAATTCGGACTTTAACCAATCTTCAGGGATATCACCAGTCGAATAAACATCATTGAAAAGTTTGACCAGTATTCCAATGTTCTCCTCATTTATAAGCTTTAACATCTCTGTCGGTATGTTATCAGGGCCAACGGCTTTTTTGTTCTTTGCTAACTTTATAGCATGCAGTATTTCTGATTTTAGTATTTCTGGTCCTTCACCTTCAACTAAAGTCTCCGGTTCTTCGGGTCTATCATCATTATATAGTTCACTTATATAATTACACCAGGTTGTTCGAATTTCATGTTCGTCTATTATCAATTTTCCCGACGAATCGGTTATAGTATGTGGAGTTTTCTTATGATAAAGACCAGCTATTTCTCTAACTTTTTTAAACATATTAAACGTATCATGTTTTTCATTCAACTTTTCTAATTCCTTGCATTTATCCTCCATCCATTTTTCTTTAGCCACCTTTATTTTTTGTTTAATTAGTTTCTGTTTTTCCTTATATTCTGTCTTGTTACCTTTCAGTTTCCTTCTCTGCTCCATTAATTCCAGGATTTCATCAGTCATCCATTGTTGTTTTTTGTACCTGCGTAACGTTGTTGAATATTTTTCTATTACTTTCAAGGTAAGATCTTTAAATGTGTTCCATATTTCTGTGTTGTTTTTATTTATTGATTTCTTTAGCTTATTGTTTAAGTCATTTTCTATTAACGTTTTGTTGGATATTGAGATATTTAATTTTGGTGTTTTGGGGCTTTCTTAGACTTTTTTGAGCTTCACTTTGATGTCAGTTATTTCAGGGTTAGGGTCTGAACCGATAGCTGCACCAGGATATGTCGTTACTCTGGTGACGCCATTCTTAAATCTCTTGTTTACCAGACTATCTGATTTCTAATCATATGTAGTGAATTATCTCCTGGTCCCCTCCATGTGCATAACCTTCTTTTGTGTAATTTGAACCATGTATTTGCGATTATCATGTTATGTTCTTGACAAAACTGATATAATCTACCGCCTCTTTCATTGCTCTCCCCTAGTCCATATTCACCCACCAGGTCAGATCTTCGGCCTTGGCCAATTTTTGCGTTAAAATCTCCAATAATATATGTGACGTCGTTACTTTTTAAAATTTTTAAGTGTCTGTTTTAATTGGCTATAGAATGATTCGACATCATTGTCATATTTCTTTTCTGCAGTTTTTTTAATTTTCTTTTTTTTTATTTTTAATTTAATTTTCTGCAAATTACCAGCATGCAGAATAAAGTATATATTCAGTTTTTTATATTAATCTAATTTTTAGGTTTTACATTACATATCTGACAAAGAAAAGGAAGAATTCACCAAAGATGACGTAGAAATTTATAAGAAGTATGCAAAAATTAATAGAAATGTCATCTCTATAATATTCTGTTTAACTATGTCAGCAGCACTTCCCTGGTACATAGTAGCTTTTAAAGCTTCTTTTGCTGAACAAGTTAATCCAAATTGTCCAATTGGTAAATAACTATTTATTCTTATGGAATAATTTGTCCGTAAAACTATCGAACTTGATAGAACTATATTAAAAATTATACGATTTTTACAATTTTTAGGCCGAGGTCTATGTTTCCAACTATGGTATCCATTCAACCTTTACCAGAGCCAGTACTGGCTCACCAAAACAGCTGATACTTTACTATTTTATATAATGTTCTTCGCATTGACCTACACCAGAGTTATCACAGTGCTCTTTATGGTGTATGTTCTGGGACAGATAAAAATCGTACAGAATAGGATTAAGAGCGTTGATTCTACAAGTGAGGAATTGATGAAAGAAAAGAGAATAGACTACGACAGTGCTATATTCGAAACAGTTACTGAATGTGCAAGGCAGTATGCAGAGGTTCAAAGGTAAGAGGTCAAAGTAGTAGAAGGCAAACTTTATGCAATATTGTATTCCTTGTCCTTGTTTATATTTGGGATTATTTCTGGGACTCGTAGATTGCTAAAAATCGTTTTCTTAATCTCCAGTTAATATTCTTTTAGTGGATAATTTGTCTTCCGCTATTTCTAAAAAGACTTAGATATGCGGATGATATACTCTTGATCTCCTCGGAATGACAAGAACTGGAATTAATGCTGAATGAACTTCATGAAAAGTTACTGCAAAAAGGCCTAAAAATTAACTTCAACAAAACAAAAGTAATGACAAACACGGAAGACCAAGAGGCAATAAAAATATAAACAAAAAAAATAGAACAGGTAAATGAGTATATCTATCTAGGACAAGCAATCAGAGCTAACCGAGAAAATCAAACAGCCGAAATATCGAGACGAGTAAGAATGGGATAGGCAGCGTTTGGCAAACTTTCTTACGTTTTAAAAAATCAAACAATCCCTCTATACTTACGAAGCAAGGTATATACCTCCTGCATAATACCGGTGCCCATCTACGGAGCACAGACATGGACATTTACACAGGCCAATTTGGATAGAATAAGGAAGGCAAGAGAGACAAATGTTGGGTGTATCACTTAGAGATAGAAAACGTAACCAGTGGATCAGAACCAGAACAAAGACAGTAGACGCGATAGAACAAGCAGCAAAACTGAAATGGAAATGGACTGGACATAATAAACGTCTCCAAGACGGACGATGGAACAATGCCATCGGAAAGTGGCGTCCATACAATGCAAAGAGATCAAGTGGCAGACCACAGATGAGGTGGAAAGATGACATCAGGAAACAAGGAGGTCCCACATGGCAGAGAACAGCTCAAGATAGGGAAAGATGGAGAGAACTGGGGGAGACCTATATCCAACAATGGAAGGATAGAGAATAGGTTCAAAAAAAAATCTAAAAAGATACTTGCTGTCATATTGTTGTACGTACTAACGTAACTAATTTTTGCTGTCCCTGGTCGATTTTTAAATTCCTTTAATTTTGATTGTCCGCTGTTTTCAATAACTTGCATGTTACATAATGTTTAATATATTTTAATTTATGTTCTTTTATTTATTTATTTATTTATCAGCACAAATAATTTTTACCTTATATAATCACTTACTCTTTATTGTTGCAATAAGACCTGACATGGTAAGAACTGATGGAAGGCGTCTTTGCTGTACCCGTGGTACAGCAGAAAGAAAATGTGTCGTTGTAATGTGAGCGTAGCAAGTGAGTGAGAAGTTAGATTAAAGGGCTAAGTAGCATAGAAAAGATAATAATTATTCGAGATAATTATTATATATTCCAAATCAAATAAGGCATAATTATTACAGTAAAGTTTGCATTTTAAATCACACAAAGAAATTGGCCTAGTTATTGCATTGTTTGATAATTGTTTAAACGTATAAAAAGCACGTTAAACAGAAACTATTGTTGTAAAAAAATAACAACACCGTGATCCAAATAGGAGCAATAACGCCAAAACTACAACTCAGCGAAGCCACGACCTTGGTACTAGAACCGGCGTTGAAAGTACGAGCACAATAAAACAAGAAGAAACGACGGTAGCCAGGCAGTTAGTAATGAGTAGTTGGTAATGGGCAGTCAGTGATAGCGGGGCACCGTAACTGCCCGCTCAGGGCAGTGATCGCCGGACGCGATAGCGTCCAGTACGCGAGGCAGTCGGTAATTCTCCGGGGGGCGCTTATCATCCGGCCTAGTATCGCGTGTAGTCCGGTTATTGTGGCAGCCCGTAAGTTCGCAACACAGAAGGAGACCCTCAACTGACTGAGTTTCAGAGGACCGAACGTGTCGTGGTTGAAAGCCCAAATAAGGTAACAGATTTCTATATACTAACCTGAGTAATTATATTAGTACCACTGTCAACTTTTCACTATCTTGCTCCTAGACTTCCGACGCGCAGAATAACGTGTTAACGATTGTAATTGTAACTTCAGGGTAAATTCAATATATTGTAGACTCTAAATTGGTTTTTTTAATGTTCCTTTCGTCCGACTCACTAGAGACTAGGATAACACGAGATTCTGCGTATGCATATCTCCGGCTTCAAAAGTAAGCCCATAACCTCTGCTCTTTACAGGACCTGAGACCTAGGAGTCCGTACCCCTATCCCGAAAATTCCTTATCTTCTCGTAAATCCACGAAGACGAGCCAGCCCTCCAGACCAGTGTGACCAGTATTCCTTGCAGCCGCTCGCAGGGTTAGCATCCCTTGAGGATCTATTGTGTATTACATTTGGGGACAGCTTTTTCCTTACCTTCATATAACGCTCCCATTTTTATTATTTTACAGTGGTGACACCGGAGTCGCCAGAGATTATTACATCGTTTACACTTCGCAAAGACTAATAAACTTCTGGTCCATTTTAAGCAAGCAAGCAAGCAATTTCATTAAACCCAGCCTGTGAGACATGTTCACCTTTAGGAATTACCATCGGGTGTAACAATTCATTGGAGCGAGTTGTATTAACTCAAGTAAAACAGGACTCCACTCCGCTGCAATGCTCCAGACCATCCCTTTTTTCCCCTATAGCACTCTGATGTGCAATAAGGGCACAACTATCAGCCAAATGCTCTTCATGAGTGAGTCCTGGGTAATAGAACTGCAACATGGTTTCCTAACCGATTCAAATTCAAATAATCTCTAGTGACTTAACAGCGAATCTAAAATTGCTTGCTTGGGCCTCGAGCCTCTGTTTCGGAGTACATCTGATTCGGAGACTTGGTGCTCAAGTGTTTGGGTTGTACATGGCCGGATCTTTTGTTTCTGGTTTATTTTTTTGGTTGGCTTTCGCCGGGTTTTTATTAGTGTTTTTTATTTTGTTTTTGCAGGCCGTTTTTTTAATTTTTGGTAAATTTTTTGTAGGATATCTATACAGGGTGAGTCATGAGGAACTTTACATACTTCTACCATATGTAGAGTCAGTCAGTGAGCATATCATGTGGCCACTAAAAAATGTCAACTCCTCTTCTTTATTAATTAACAGGGTGATTTGTGTAATTGACCATTTATTTCATTTTACTGTAGTGTTTATACGGCTCATTTGATTATTTTAATTTTTGCATGATACAGTACACTACTATCAGGTATTCGACTGGTATTAGCTAAACTAAAAAAATTCCAGGACTGGCTTTGGAAAAATTAATTTAGGGATTCGTATTAAATATTACACCCTGTATATATATATATTTTTTTAAATGCAATAAGTGATTTTCAAACTACATAAATAGCCAATGAAAACGACATATGCGACAATGTTGTCGCACTTTTATTAAATTTTTAGTGAACGATCAAATCTTAACAAAAATAGGACAACCATAATGTAGTATCAAATTATAAGGTAATTAATTTAAACACATGTTATAAATTTTAAACATTTTAATTGAAATAATTAACTGAGTCACTGCAAAACAAAAAACAGGAACTACTAACAATAACGAAGAACAATTTAAAAAAAAAAACTAAAAATATATACATAGTTATGATAAACCCATAAATTAGAACTGGAAAAGATACAATAATGGTAACAAAATAAAAATAATTCAAAATAGACTTTCGAAATGAACCCTGCAGCCTGTACACATTTTTGTTGCCGAATTGTTAATTGACGTATTGAATTACGGATACTCTGTATATCGTTTCTAATAGTATAACAACAATGTATAATTCTATCAATTAATTGTTGTCGGTTATTAATATTCACTGCGTAAACTAGTTACTTCAATAGTCCCCAAATATAGTAATCAACGGGATTGAAATCAGAGGATCTTGAAGGCCACGAAATAGGACCTGCACGTCCTATCCACTTGTTGCCATAAACATTATTGAGATGTTGTCTCACTGCCAGTAAAAAGTGTGGGGGTGCCCCATCATGCTGAAAATACATCCCTCGGATAGCAACGTTCGCGTTGGCAAGCAAATTCGGCAAAATATTTTGTAGAAAGTTCAAATAGACCTGCCCTGTTAAAGGACTATCAAAAAAGTGAGGACCTACTAATTGGTTATTTATGATTTTACTTACTACTTTATGATTTTAGTTACTTTTGATTGAGTAACATTGAATTCTCGACTTACTTGTCTAGTGCTTATTGTAGGGTTCATAGTAACGGCGTCCATAATGTGATCTTCCTGCGCTTCATCTACATGTCGCTCTGTTGTTCCACTAGGAAAAGTGCCATTTTCTCGCAAATAATTAAAAACTGACCCAAATGTTGGATGACTGGGAGTTCGACGATTGGGAAATCTCCTGCGATATTCTCTACTAGCAGCCCTACCATTTCCATTACAGAATCCATAAACAAATATTATGTCTGCATATTCTGTGGTCGAAAACTGATGTGGCATTTTGAACGAAAGTAACAAAAGCTCTACCAAAACTAACAGAATGTACTTAACGTAGATATGACAGAAGAAATATGTATTCTTGTACACATAAATAACAATTGATAATGACAATAATGACAATGGGTATAAAATATCAAGAAACGTTAAACGGTCAACGCCAACCTTCATTTTAAACTTTTTTAGATTTATTTTTATTTAGTACTGTTGATGCAATGTATTATTATTTGACATAAAATTTTAATCATTTACAATCAACAAAAACTAACACATACAAGAGGTTTGACTTTTTAATCAATTTAATTTATTATTTATCGAAAATAATGGCCCAATACGATCTATGAGTAAAAATTTAAAATTGAAAAACAATTGATTCTTTCGTAGAGATAATACAAAGTGACAGTAAAGATGTTAATTTTCTACGTATTAGATTATGTTGTAGGAACTCATTTTAATTAAAATGTTTGAAATTTATAACATTTGTTCAAATTAATACCTTATAATTTAATACTTCATTATGGTTGTTTTATTTTTGGTAAGATTTTATCGTTCACTAAAAATTTAATAAAAGTGCCACAACATTGTCGCATATGTCGTTTTCATTGGCTATTTTTGTAGTTTGAAAATCACTTATTGCATTTTAAAAAAATATATATACAGGATGTAATATTTAATACGAATCCCTAAATTAATTTTTCCAAAGCCAGTCCTGGATTTTTTTAGTTTAGCTAATACCAGTCGAATGCTTGATAGTAGTGTACTGTATCATGCAAAAATTAAAAAACTCAAATGAGCCGTATAAACACTACAGTAAAATGAAATAAATGGTCAATTACACAAATCACCCTGTTAATTAATAAAGAAGAGGAGTTGACATTTTTTAGTGGCCACATGATATACTCCCTGAGGGACTCTACATATGGTAGAAGTATGTAAAGTTCCTCATGACTCACCCTGTATAAAAGGTCCTGTGTTGTTCCTTGGTCCTTGTTCTTCTTGAAGCCAACACAGTGCGGCAATTTGTAGTGTTTGTCGAATAAGTAGAGCTCTGTTGGTTTGTTTATTTTTCTCTCTAGAGTTTTTGTTTTCTTTCTGATTATTTTGTTTATTTCCTTGTTTTGTTTTCTCTCCCGTATTTATGTTGTTTTCTTTTACTACTTTTTATTTGATTTGACTTCACTTTTATTTGGTTTCTTAATTTATTTCGATATTTGTTGTTTAGGCATTTTATGTTTCCATCGGTGAAAAGCGTCGTATTTCTTTCGTCGTCGTTTGGCTGCATATCTTAGGATGTTGACAGCTTCCCTTATTCAGCTGTTGTGAACTGCTTGATTTTTCTTCTTTGTAGTATTACAGGTATGTCTCCATGCGAGAGATGCATATGCAAGTATCGGTAGAATGATATTGTTTATTTAGCTAATTTTGGTTCTAGTCCTTAGTTTGCTTTTTCTACCTGTGAGTCCTCTGATAGATGTTTTAGCCATTTCATCTTTTTGCACTGTGGCATCGTCTTGGTTTTTAAATGTAAGTCCGTTATCCCTAACGACTCTCAGGTATTTTGCCTCGCTTTTCCATTCGATGACATTTTTCTGCACACGAAGTTCTTACTCTAGCTGCTAAGTTTTTTTTTTGAATAGCGTCGCTTGCGTTTTGTCGGAGTTTATGGCGATTTCCCATCTGATACTCAATTCTTCGATTTTGTCCAACGCTGTTCCTGATGCTCTGTGAACGTCTGCGGTAAATATTAAGTACAGCAGGGATAACAGGACCGCTATCTGTGGTACTCCAGCCTCCGGGATTCCGAGTTTGGACAGGACTTCGAAAGTCCTGTTTAGGTCCTATTCGAAATTTTAAACTCTGGTTGCTCACGTAGGAAGAGATTAGTCTTATCATTGCCCCGCTGGAGTTATATCTACTTATTTTGTATCTCAGCCTTTTATGCCAGGCTCTGTCGAAGGCTTAGGCATCCAGGAAGGCTGCTCCTGTGTCCTGCTTGTCGTTAAATCCAGCTGCTATGTACTCTGTTAATCTGAGTACTTGTAGGTCGCTAGAGTGGTCAGCTCTGAAGTAAACCTGTGCTTCTAAGATTATTTCAATCCTGTCCGTTGTGGCTTGGAGTCTGCTGAGAATAATTCTTTCCACAATTTTGCTAATTACTGAAAATAAGCGTATAGGCCTATAGTTTTGCGGGAACTTATTTTTTGCCTAGTTTTGGAATCATGATGAAGTGTGCATCTTTCTATCTATTTTAGGAATTTCCTGTATCTCAGCATTGCATTAACTATGTTAGTTAAGAATACTATGGCTCTTACCAGTAGGTATTTTAGGACTTTTTCAGTTATTTGATCCGGGCCTGGGACTTTCTTTGGTGATCTATTATTGATTTATTCATTTATCTCCTCCGGTGATATTGGAGAGATGTCGTTTGGGTCAGGCCTTTCTCTCTGTTCCTGGACTTCTTTAGTGAAGTCAAAGTCTTCGTCTGGATGGAAGTTTAGTGTGCACCGTCTCTTGAGAGTATTCCTCATAACTTCTGCTTTTTCCTCTGTGGAGTAGACTATTCCCTTTTTCCCATGTAGTAGTAAAAGTGGTTTTCTGTCACTTTTTAATAGTCTTTGTAATTTCTAGATGTTTTGCATGTTTCCTCCTTGTTTCTCCTTTTCTTGGACATGATTTTCCCAGTATTGGCTACGGTGTTTTTGTAGCGCTTTTTTGACCTCTCGATTTAGTCTATTTTTTAATTTTGATCGATTTGGTTTCTTGCCCTTGTCTGGTACATTTCACATCACACACGTCTTATTTGTAGAACGAGTCTTAGGCAAGTCGTACGTGCAGGATCTAAATCAATAAAACGTAAGTGGGCGAAGTCCTAGTTCGCAACCTTATCTCGAAGTAATAAAAAACCAAAAACACTTGCAAGTTTATTGATAATATTAAAAATATGATTCAGGGTTAAAATTCTCCATATTTATTATTTTAGGTTAATGAGATTGGTAAACAAAGCTTGCAAGGAATTTGTTCTCATCGCATTCTTTAGCAATTCCATGGAATTGGCGCTATTTTTGATGCAGTTATTGATGGTAAGATGACATACAGAATATTTTCAAAATCACTTAAAAAATTTAAAAAAAGGCATATTTCAGCTTTATTGAAAAATGAAAAAATAAGTCAACTCATCAGCAAAAGTTCATTAAAGCTAAAATATTCTATACAAATAGTATGACTATTTCTTCTATTTTATCACTTAATCAGTGTTTTAACTGTCATGCTGAAATACTTTGTACTAGATAAACAGTTATTTGCATAACTGATATAGTTATATTCTGATTTTTAGGCACAAAATATCGTTGAAGCTTTTCAACAAACGGTCATATTATTTATGACACTTACTCAGCTCTTCTTGTTTTTATGGTACGCGAATGGAATCAAAGTGGAGGTAATTTGAATTCATCTAAAAAGAGTTTATTACCGTATAAATTATAATATTTATGTACCAATAACATAACAAATATACAAATCTAAAAAGATAATCCAGGGAATGCTATTTCCTACACAGTATTATTCGTTTGAGAATCGTGTTATTAACAGGTTGAGTGCCAACCAGAAACTGAGTAGATGAGTGGATTTTCAATTTTTTTTGTTTTTATAATATCTAGAATGCTTATAAATTTTTAGGAGAAATGAAGTCGTAATTTTTTCAATCCGACCATTTTTTTCAATTCTATCGCCATTTTTCATAAGCAGACACCGGTGTCTGCTGTGGCACTGGTGGCAACATTTGCCTTTTGTTAATTCTGCAGACACAAATAGCAGACACTGTCGTTTAAACCTAACCTCAAAGACATACACGTGAGTTAGTAGTTTGTTGAGTTATGCTTTTGTTTTATAGCTGTATTAAATACCTATATTGGTGATTTTTCTTAAAAATTATATATCATGCATAATATTAGTGGTCGCACAAAGAGAATTATTTCTGCAATGTATGCAAAACAGTCTGCAGCAAGTTACGGTAAGTTTTTTAACAATAAGTGTAAGTTAGATCAGACTGTAAGTAAATAAATGTTTTCAGAAGACAGCTGCGATTCATCAGATGAGAAATTCAGTTCCACAGATTCCATAAACGATCTTGCTTATGTTCCAAGATCGTTAAATTCTGATGATTCTGAACCTGCTGCTCAGGTGCCGCCAAAGTCTAAGATGGAAAAAACGCAGACAGAAAGTGAATCATCCGATTCCGATTCGAGTGATACACCATTGAAAAATTACAACACAACAGTCGCCCAAGTCAGCCGACCCGTTACAGAAATCAGTGATGGTTGGTTTGGTCTGAACGTACTGGACGGCAGAAAAATCTTTGTTTTATAGATGAATGTTGTCCTAATAACGCGGTTGTGGCTCAACTTTCAAGTGGTACTCCGTTTGACTTTTATTCTGCTTGTGTGGATAATAACATAATTGAGCATATTGTCCAGCAAACAAATTTATATGCTACACAATTCCTAACAACAATAAATGATATCCCACAATCCTCGCGACTACATAAATGGGAACCCACGACTATTTCTGAAATGAAAAGATTTCTAGGACTTATAGGCTATATGGGTCTGGTGAAAATGCCAGCAATAAAGAGTTATTGGTCCAAATCTATATTGTATAATAATAATGTTGTGAGGAATACAATGAACCGGAACAGATTCCAGCTTCTTCTGCAGATGATGCATTTTGCAGACAATGAACTTTGCCCCCAAGGTGATCGCCTTTATAAAATACAGGGATTGGTAAATATGTGCAATACAAATTTTTAAGCGTTGTATACTCCAGGTGAAGTTTTTTGTATTGAAGAGAGTATGGTTCCATTTCAAGGACGCTTGCTTTTAAAACAATATATACCGCAAAAAAACCCACAAATATGGGATAAAATTTTTTAAACTATGCTGTAATTCTGGTTATACCTGGAACTTGGAAGTATATGGTGGTAAAAGTAATATCAATAGAACTACGTCTTTGCCCACAGATGTTGTTCTAAGATTGTCTGAGAAGCTCTTGGGTAAAGGTAGAACTATTGTCACAGACAAATTTTACACAAGTCTTGAACTCGCAAATAATCTGCTTAGTAAAAATACTCATTTGATCGGAACACTTCGTAAACATAGACGTGGAAATCCAAAGGCTGTCATAAATAAAAAGTTGAAACGAGGTGAAATAATTTCGAGGGAAAACGATGATGGTATCACAATTACCAAATGGAAAGATAAGAGAGATGTGCTCATTCTCTCAACGAGACACGCAAATGAGACAGAAAAAATAGTCAAGAGAACTGAAACCTAAGTCAATTACAGATTACAATACTGGAAAATCTTCCATAGATTTATCTGATCAACTGGCTAGTTATGGTTTGGCATTACGACGCAGCCTGAAGTGGTATAGAAAACTAGCCATAGAGTTGTTGTTAGGAACATGTATTGTCAATGCTCGCTTTTTGTACAAAGAAATCACAATGAAAAATATAACTGTTCATGAATTCAGAGAACATATTGTAAAATCCTGAACTACCAAAACGAAAGTCGATATCCAATCATAAATTTATAAAAAAAACAAGGAAGTTCAAGAGTGGGCCGTAAATACTGTCGAGGTTGCTATGAAAAAAAGAAGTTGGGTGAGATTCCACGAAGTAAAATATCAAAAATTACCACATTTTGTAATGATTGTATTGGAAAACCTCCAATGTGTCTTTCTTGTTTTAATAAAACACATTATAATTAGTTGCTATATATTTTATCTTTTTATGAAAGTAAATATTTGTCTTCAAAACTAGAATTTTTATAACCTTCAAAAAAAGCAGTCCCGTAAGAAAATTTAAAGAGTTTATAGTTGTCGCATATAAACCATCACCTTAGCAGACACCGATGTATGTTAAATATACAGGATTTGCAGACACTGTGAAGGTATAGTCAAAAATGTGTATGAAATCATAGCAGACACAGGTGTCTGCTCTGGCAATATTGGGCAGATACCTATGAGCAGACACCGGTGTCTACTGTGGCACTCAACCTGTTAAATTTTTTGACTTCAAAAGTTGAAAACCTCGGTTTTTTATTAAAAAATTAGCACTTTTACGAAAAGTAGTGATTTTCAAAAAAAACTTTATCAAATAAAGCATGCTTTGAATTAGTTTATCTATCGTCTGATTTATTTACAATAAAACATTTTTAATTCCGAGAAGGAGTGGCATCCACTTTTAGGCCCAAAGCATCCCCCGGTATAGGGTCAAATGTAAAGTAAGTAGAACGTAAATCCACTTTGTTTATAGAAGTCAGTATTGTTTGCCAAAATTATCATGAAAGGCTGTCGTCGATTGGATTAAAACTGTAACAATCTTAAACTTAATTAATTCTCAAATAGTCAATTCTCAACTATTTCCTTCAATTTTTCACTTTTTAGCTTCTACAATGCTCTAATCATTAAATTTTATAATTTTTCAGAGTGGAGAAGTTGCTAACATTATCTACAATGAAACTGGATGGACAAACTACAACTCGAAAGCAAGGAAAATCTTGTTGATAGTAATGATGAGGTCTCAAAGACCGTTGACATGTAATTCGGCCTTTATTGGTGATATGACCATCGACACATTCAAGAACGTAAGTAAGACTTTTTTATTTGTTTCATCATTATCATTAGTGGCATCATAGCCTGTTGTGAGCCAAAGCATTCTTAGAATAATACTCCATTCGCTCCTGTCTTTGACAATTTTTCTTCGTGCATTAACACCAATAGCTTTTAAATCACCCTGCAGGTTGTCTTGATATGTAAGTCTAGGTCTTCCTCTGGCTCGTTGTCCAATCTGCTCCTTTCGGTCAAAGCTTTGACTATTGCACCTTCCTCTTGCCTGATTACATGCCTTATCCACCTAAGGCGTTTTACCTTAGCGTATTTTACAACGTTAGTACAAAGTTTCATTGCCTGCGCCACAAGCCTTCCTCTTTTATTCCTCCATAAATTCTTTTTATAATTTTTTGTTCCAAATGTTTAAAGTGTTCTTGATCCTTCTGTGTAAGTGACTACATTTCTACTCCATGTGTTAGGACTGGTTTTATTATTTTATATTATAGAAAGTCGTTTTAATTTTTCTGTGCAGTTTTGGGCCATCTGTCTTCTCAAGCGATGGTACCACTTCTACACCTTCCAGTTCTAAATCGTCAATTAATATTCTTCTAGGTTTCTGCTTGTTTGGCCTAGTACAATACATGTATTGTATTCTTAGTGCAAACGCCCTTTATGACAGGAAAGCTTCATTCAGAGATATCTCCAGGATTTTAAGGTCCTCTGTAGTTTGCCGAAACCTATTGCATTATCTTTTTCTGACATCTTGTATTTTCCATCTTAGGTATTATATAGATACATATCAAAACAAGGATCTGCGGTTGCTAGTACTTTTTCTATTGATAGAATAAATAATTGAATATTCTTCCGACATATAAAGAATATACTAATTTAAGTCTCTCACATATTTAGGTATATAGTCGACTTTCGCTTATCCGCTTAGTCAAAACATTATTAATATGAATGAGAACTTATTTTATAAACTAGATCTAACGTAATAATTTATTATTATAAGCAGAAATATAATATTCTGCTGTTATAATGTTAAGTGAGCACAAGGAAACACATTTCCTTACGCGCCGCCAATGATCCTATTTAAAATTTCCTATAATTCATTAAACGAAATCAATGATATTCTCAAAAAAGCCACAAAATGTAGATAACCTGATCACAATAATACAACCATCGAAAGAGTAACAACACATAAATATTTAGGAACGTGGCAAATCGAAGATGAAGATCAAACAAAAGAAATCAGATCTAGAATCGAAATGGCAAGAAACACGTTCAGACAAATTGAAGAACTTACTTTACAACCGTAACCTAAATCTAGAGATCCGCACTAGAATGCTACGTCGTTACGTTATTTCTAGTTTACTATACGGCATGGAAGCGTGGACAATAAAACAGTCTGAAATCAAAAAATTAAACTCCTTTGAGATGTGCTGCTACAGGAGAATCCACAGAATATCGTAGACTGAAAAAGTAACTAATATAGAGGTATTACAAAGAATGAAGAAAGAATGTGAAGTCATAATAACTGTTAAAATTAGAAAGATTCAATATCTGGGTCATATAATAAGAATATAATATAACCTGAAGAAGAAGAAGAATTCATGAAGAGCACGTGGTGTTGGATACATTTGACAACTTACGGCGCGTGATTTTTTATTTATAACTTCATTATTTAATATTTGTCAGACTTAAGAACCCTTCCAGATCTTCCTCTAATCATTGCTAATAGAGAAGAACAACTAAAAATTGGTTTATAGACGAGCTGATAACCAACCTGATAGGCTACATGCGACGAGGTTTTTAAACTTGTTTTGGACGCTTGCTAACAGACCCTTTTTATTAAATTTTTTGTCCATTTACAAATCATCAGTAAATTAAAAACTCCTTTTTTTATTTATTTAGCGTATGGATAATTACAATACGATAAAAGTAGTATTTAGACAATAATTATGTTCAAATTGTAATTGTAATCTAAGTTAAATATTAAATATTAATGTCCAAATTGCACAGCCATTCAATTGCACCAGTAGAACACTCTGCAAAATCTTGAAGGTCTCCGCTGTATCTGCGGATTGGGCAATCCGCCATGATGTGTTGGATGGTCTGTCTCGGGGATCCACAATCACATTGTGGACTTTCTGCATGACCCCATCGGTATAGAGAATCGGCACATTTGCCATGACCCGTGTGTATGCGATTTAATTTTGTCCATATAGGGCGTGGCAGGTCTGATCCAGTGAAGCCGATCGACGTACTTGTTATTTTGATGACGTCTGGCTTTGTTGTTGGCATCCATCTTTTCGTCCACTGCTCTTGCTTATTGTAGCTATCACCCATTCCCTGAACGGATTGGACAGGGGGTCGTCTGGACTTCAGTCTTTGTTAGTCTCGTGCGGCGTGCGGAATATACTGGTGAATTGGCAGACGATTATTTGCCATGATTTTCTGATATTCTCTGACAAGTGCTGCCGTTCGTCGAATATCTGGAGGTGCTATATTGCTCAGAATTGGAAGCCATCTTAGTGGAGTTGATTTAATAGTACCAGATATTACTCTCGTAGTGTAATTTAGTTGAACATCAATCTTGTTGACATGAGCGCTATTTAGCCATACCGGTGCACAGTATTCAGCGACAGAATACACCAGGGCCAGTGAGGAGGTTCGAAGTGTATCCGCAGTGGCGCCCCATGTCGTTCCAGCAAGCTTTGTTATTATGTTGTTACGGGTTCTCACTTTGGCAGCTCCATTCGTAAGATGGGTTTTGAACGTCAGTGATCTGTCGAGCGTTAAACCCAGGTATTTAGGGTTGTTATTATGTTTCCAAGTCTCGCCATTGAAGGTGATGCTAAGGGTGTCATCCGAAAGCTGAATTGTGAGATGGAAGAGGCTTGTCTCAGTTTTGTTTGTATTAGGGCGAAGTCGCCATTGTTTAAAGTAGTCGCAGAGAACCCTTAAGTCTTTGGTAAGCGTCCTTTCTCCAACATCTTTGGCTTGGTTTTGAAATGCGATAGCCAGGTCATCTGCGTAAGCAAATTTTTTTGATTTTGTCTCTGGAAGATCGGCTGTGTAAATGTTAAATAATAGTGGAGCAAGCACTGAACCCTGTGGGAGGCCATTATTTAGCTTTCTGACATTGCTCTTTGTATAAATATAAAATTTGTATATATATATATATATATATATATATATATATATATATATATATATATATGTATATAAACTCCTTTATAATTGACACATGTTTAGTCTTTTAAGCTAAATGATGCAAAACTGTTGAGACTAAGTGTATTGGTTTAAAAAGTCCATTAAGTTTGAGATTTTTTAAAACATTAAGTCACTAAAGAACGAAAAAAAAATAAGAGAGAAACGAAGAAAGGACAAAAGAAAGAACGAAAGGAACACATGGAATACATGTATTATTTGGAGGCCATGCAACAAAAGCTGCTGTTTCTAATAGTAAACAGATACGTTAAGTCCACGTATATTATAAATAATATTTATTATATTAATATATTAATATTTCTTCTCGTTGTTTCAGATGATCAAACTGTGCTACTCCATTACAACATTTTTTAAAACTGCCTATTTGTAAATCGAATAGTAGAATTAAAATATTTTTTAAATCACGGTTTGTAATCTCAAACAAAAGTATTTGACTTGTAATCTAGCACAAGATAAACGAATTAAATGTAGTGGTTTTTTATTTTTTAAGCGCTAAAACCAAAAATAAAACGATTTTATATAACGGGTTAAAACTAGAGTTCACACTGTTGAAGAATCGATACCTTACCTAGGTATAATTATCAAGAAATTGGCTTTGTTTATCGGGTGCTAAATACTTTATTATGACGTTTCAGCTTCTAAGTTTCGGCAATTTTTAAATAAAATTTACCCTGACATATTAGATCAACTGTTATGTATGGCATTCAATATTGTGCAACTAAAAAGGAAAAAGACAGTCAGTTATCCACCCTCAATATCTTTTTAGCATCGGTTCTTACTTCATCTTTCCTTGTTCCTCCTACTAGCTGACATCTCACCATAGTTTCACTAGCGTTCTACTAAGTATTATTCATTCTTATAATGTGATTTGCTTCACATACCTTTTTATTGCCTTTTCTGCTATGATCCATATATCTACGCCATATTCTCTATGAATTTCTTTGGATCCAAACACTTGCGTCAAGGAGAAGTATGCTTTGTTAGCAAGCATTATCCTTTTCCGTATTTCTTCCTCTACTTTGCCGTCTTCAGTTATCTATACGCCCAAGTATGTAAGCTGTTTTAATAGTGGCATCGTATATTGTCAACTTTTGCAAGTTTTGTTGTTTCCTTGCATGTATTAGAGCTAAATACGTTAATCTACTTTTACGACTAGCCCTATTTCTTTCGCATTTTCTCTAATTTCCACGTAAAGTTCTGTGATGTCTCTTCTGCTAATCTGCTTAGACTTATTAAACAATCAACTTAAACAATTAATTTTTTGGGTTTACAGAATTTTTTTTATAACATATTCCACACAAATATGTGAATCAGAGTCGGAGCCAGCACATCTTCCTGTTTTAGCCCCTTAGTTATCTGGAAGAGGCCTGTCAATTAATTTTAAACTTGTATGGTGATTATCATAAATTTATTTATCAGTGTGTGTCCTCCTACATCAAATACTGCATAGGTTGTATTTGTTTGTATTTGCTCTGTTAGCAGACTTTCGAAATAGTTTTTCCAGTCTGCTTTTATTGCTACATCGTCACACAATTTGTCTTTCACTATTTCTAAAAAGATTCGTGCGTGGTTTATATCCCTCTTTGACTTGTATCAGGAACTTGTCTCCATTTTTAGTATTTGGTCGTTTTTATAACTTTCTTTTTCTTCTGCTTATTTCGTCTGCCTTTCTTCGTTTTTCTTTATATTTTTAGCACATTTCTCGTATTCCTCTTTGAATATACTGATGTATAATTAATTTATTTTATCTATTGTTTGTTTACATTCTTCATCAAACAAAAACTCTTTTCTTTGATTTTTTTAATTCCACACAAACACTCTTTTAGCCATTTCCCATGTTTCCCTATTAATCTTATTCCATTCTTCTTGTATTGTTTCCTCCCTCTGTTCTCCAGAAGTTCTCTACTATTCTAGTCGAAACTGCCTGCATTATTTATGGGGTCACTGAGTAGCTTGGCATCCGATGCAACCAATTCTACGTCCAGAATAAAAGGGAAGGTGGAGAAGTAACACATCTACAAGAAAAAAGCAGGGCTTGACTAGCACGCTTGATAACCCTCCGTAGGGCAGCAGCTATACCACTACTGGGTCACATTAGCTTAGCATAGGTTTCTGGTTAGAAGCGGGTGTAATGTAAACATAGCAAGAAAATAAAGAATAGAAAAAATACGGGCTAGTAGCATAAGAGAGAATAATAATCATTTATTATATATTCCTAATTAAATAAAGAATAAATTCGATACAGTAACGTATACATTTTAAATTATACAAAGAAAAACAATTTGACCCAGTTAGTTGCATAACATTAGACAATATCAGTGGCTTGTTCAAATTGTTCAAAAAAGAAAATAGTCACGTTTTAATAAACATACACGTACTCTGGAAAATATCACCGGCGCCGACCTGGTTTAAATCACGAGTACTACGACGGGGGGAGCTGGCACGACGATAGGCGACTCCAGTACGGTGAAACTCGCGATTGTTTTGATTGCCGGGAGATAGTTCGTATAAAGTGTCGAATACCGGGCGAGTGAAAAGTTCCAGTCAGAACGCGATATTCTCCACAACTGAACTTGAATTCCAGATCAACTGAAGTTTGTATCGTTAGCTAGAGCCTAAATACGCGAAAGGTAACAAAATTCTATATACTAACCCGAGTAAATTATAGTATGCATATTCTGCTTATGCATATCTCCGGCTTCTAAAGTAAGCCGATAGACTCAACTCTTTACAGGACCTGAGACCTAGAAGGCCTTAACCCCTATCCCAGAAAGTCCCTACCTTCTCGTAAAGCCACGAAGGCGAACCAGCCAGTTCAGACTATTGGGACCAGTAAGCCTTGCAGCCGCTCGCAGGGATAAGTATCCTTAAGGTTCATATCGAGGATGTTCCAGTGGTGACAGCGTTGTACAGTGGTGAAGATTTTCTCACCCTCTAGTTCCAGATTTTACATTAGGGGATACAAACCTCCCGCTCGTTGTACACGGGCTTTGCAGAGACAAACGAATAAAAATTGGCACCTAGCGTCAGAGAGCTTCTAGATGGGTACCGGGTACCAAGAATTCTTGTCTCAAAATAGGAAATCAAAGATTAACATAGGTAACTGGAATAGTAAGAGATGACTATATACCTGGAGAGCAATTGGCGATAAAAAACTATTATTTTGATCACAATAATCTTTTAGCTCACATCCAAATTAATCTCAAAAAAAAAATCGAATAAAAAAAGTCAAAGTATTGATAAATCTATATTTCTGAACGATGAACTTTAAAATAAAATTAGAAATATTAGCTCCATATTGTTAACAAAAATATCAACACTGTATGGAATGACCTAGACGTCAACGATGTCAGAAATGACATTAAAATAGTGCTATATAATATGAACTTTGCGAATAAGACAAGACTTGGCTTTAGACCCCACTATAGGAAGAAATAATCTACGCAATAACAGCAACGGTAAGGGAGTACGCCTGTTAACCATAGCAGCAGCACTAAACATGGTAATTGTTAGCACCTATATCAAGAAAAGGAAGAAGAAAATGCTTCTGGTTGCACCTTAAGAAGAAGAATATCAAAGATATATTTGATTCCCATTATGATATTCAAAATATGGAAATGAAAATGAAATATCTGTGTAAGGAATTAAATTGATTACACAATGGTGAACAAAAGATTCATTCATTCCGTAATGAATGCCTATCAATTAAAACTTAACACGGTGCTGACGTATCGTCAGATAATATTCTTGTTATTAGTAAATATAGGTTTGGATTTAAAAAGGTTACAAAAAAAAATGTACAAAAATATTCAGAGACAAAGAGCCAAAATATGAAAAGCCAAAGAAAATTGGTTAAAAACACAGTGTGAAGAGATATAATTGTTGGAAGAAAAACACGATTCATTTAATATACATAGGTAAAGAAAACAGCTGATCTTCAAAAATCCAACACAGCCAGCAAAATGCAAGATAAACAAGGGAACAGCATCACAGATAAAAATCAAGAAATATGCATATGGACCAAACAAATACAACAACTCTTTGATGATAATAGGTCTAAACAACCTCCGTCCTACATATGTAATGACAACATTCCAATCTCATCAGATGAAGTAGAAAAAAGCAGTAACACAACTAAAAGATAGCAAAGGACCTGGACCTGGACCTAACAATACAAACGCTAAACTCATAAAGCTATTTAACACCGACGGTACTTAGCGACTATCAAAAATAATATTCAATGACATTATTCAAATGCAGTAATACCAAAATCATGGCTGAAGCCAACGTTTATTGCTATACCAAAGAAAACAAAATCCGTATCCTGCAATGATTTTCGGACCATCAGCTTAATGAGCCACATTTTAAAGGTATTTCTAAAAAGCATACATCAAAGGATATAGACTATGCGAAGAACAAATTAATCTTACAGTTTGGTTTTCGAAATGCTGAGGAGAGAGAATCCAATGATATCAAAATCAAACGCTGTATTGAGTCCGACTGTATCCCTGTATACTATTATTCTTGCACTATCATTTTGGTGAGCGCTGAATCATTCGTTTTCATTGGTTACATTATGCTAGACGCGTGCTACTTGCTACTTGCCACTGCCACGCCACTTTGGTGGGCGCTCTCCCTTAGATAACTACTACTTGAATTAAATAATATTATCCACTCGGAAAACGTTAGCTATGGACTAACGGATCAAAATATAAACAAAAATGACTAGAAAGAAAAAGACACATACTAGGATAGACTAAAGAACTTATTGTATCAGCAGCAGAAGATTGGATAGGAATACAAATTTCTCGCCTTACTAAGATACAATTCACCACAAAAATAGAAAAAAATTGCATATTTAAGATATCGCAGTTAAGTGAAAATCAATTAGAAAGCTGGGGCACCAAGTATACTGAAAACCAACGCATGTGGTCCAATATTTAATCAACTCGAACCAATATAAAAAAGCAGACATTACCTCATAATCTCTTCCACAATGAATTATATTTAAAATACTTACTATAAGTGCTTACGAGTAAGAAACGCCTCGAATATCAGTTTAAATAGAGTATTACCAATGATTATCTTAGCCTATACAGACGAAGAAGTTAAATGATTCTACGATGTGTTAGCACTGTTAAAACTGTTACGACGCAGTTAAAATAATTACAACTCAAAAATGGAACTAGACAGGCCATGTTGCCATATTCAAAGATGAAAGATGGACCAAGATAATTGTAGAATGGAGGCGATGCTTATCGTAATCGAGGACGTCCTCCAACAAGATGATCAGACGACATCAAGCACAACTGGATTCATGGTGCTACAGATCTATATTCAGCAATGGACTCAAACCGGCTTATGATAATGATGATGATGATGATGATTACTAATAATTAACAGCAGAAGGTAGAAATGTCTAATTGCAATGTCTTCATAGTGACATAAACACCAAATATTGAACTTAAATTTGATATAAAAAGCCAAAACTCTTTACTTAAATTATTTTATTTGACACAAAAACATAATAGCTTTTTACAAAACGATTATTCATAGATCCCTACATATTATCAAGGACCCGGTTAACATATGAATTTTTTCTAGGCAATTACAAATTATCAACATTCAACATTGCTCCATAAAAATAGGCCAAAACAGTAATAAAAAACATTAGAATCAGTTCTTTTCTAGGTTCTTCTTTGTTTTTGTGTTTTGTCGTCAGTTCGTTATGGATATTGTTTTGATGTCGATGGGAATTCCTCGGGGAAGCTAGTAGTGGAGTCTTCTTTTGTAGCTAAAGGTGGAATCTGAAAACGAAGATAAATCATCATTGACTAGAATAATAAAGTTATTTACTGGACGTAAAAGGGCGTCCAAACTTTTATAAAGCTGCAAAAACTGAATAAATCTCTATTAAATTAAGCAAAAACAATTTAACGAATTATCTACAATTCTCTCGTTTAGACTACTCCGATTATTCTGTCTTCTATTTTATTTTTTCTATCTTTGCCCGTTCTTCTTATTTATCCAATTAACTTACTTATTTTCTCTAAATTGTTCTTTATTATCAGAGAATAAACTAGTTTAGACATTCTCCAAATTTGCACAAATTTGAGAAAGATCTTATTGAGAAATACACATGTAATTAAGCAAATAAAAGAAATGCACTATATTAAACGATATTCCTTTTTGTCCCCATATCCCTAAACTTTTGAGTTTACTATTGCTACTTTCCCTTCTTTTGTCGTTATTTTGCCGCACTTTCTTGTTTTGTTACGTATTTTGCCCTTCATCTATCTGGTGTAAATACACAATTAACTATGAAATATGTATGTCAAAACTTTCTTAAAAGTTACTTAAAATTAAACAAGTAAAAGATCAGCAGTCATAATCATGCAGCCTTCTTCGTCCAAACTTGAACATTTCTCTCTCTTCAGCTCTGGTTCTTCAGAGGGAGTGTAGTAGTCATCGTGATGTCGGCTCCAAAGATTTCTGCCTGTAGTTATTTTTTTTAACTAATGCGTAGGTCTTTTGCATATTTCTGTAATTTGGTCGATCTATCTTGTTAGGGATCTTCATCGTGATCTTTAGCCTTCTATCTTTCCTGTATCTGATCTCAAATATCCTGAGTATTTTAATTGTTAAAGATGGACTTTGCTGGAAAGCCGTTTGCTTACCTTTAGCTCATTTAAAATTGGATTATTTGTCCTGCGGTTGGTTCAAGAAATTCGTAACATTCTTCTACAACAGAGTATTTTAGTTGCTTCTATCTTTCTTCTTTCCATTTCTCCTATGGACCAAGATTTAGATGTGTAAACCTCATTTTTGGAGTTTAAAGTTTTGGAGTTGATATTTGACAGTTTTTATCTTTCATACGGCGTTTTTTACTAAATTACATCTACGTTTTATTTCTTTTTGTAGTACTAACCCTATGTTTGTGATCAATGATCTTAGATATAAATATGAGCCCACAACCTTAAACCGATCAATCCTAGTTACGTGTGGATGACTGTTATGTAGTATATCAACCATCATGATCTTTGTGTTTGATATGTTTAACTGCAGATCAAATATTTGCCTTTCATATGAATTAACTCTTCTTTACTATTTGCAATGAGAGCTGTGTTGTCTGCAAAGCGTAGATTGTTTATTTTTCTGTCATTTATTGAGATGCTCTTTTCCCATCTTTTAAGCGCTTTTGTCATAATATACTTTGTATATTTATTAAATAATTATTGAGAGTTTTGCCTTTTATCGCCGGATAAGTAAACAAAATTGCCATTATGTCTTCTAAAATTGCCCTCTTCTAACAAATGAGTTTCATCTAGTCAAGAGATTTCAATGGTATACCTTGCCAGCTCTCTTGCAATAATTAATACCTTATCTGTTATTGTCTTTAGCCCTTGTACGTTCCATGTACAGATGTTAATTAATTTTATGAGCTTCTTAATTTATGTGGACCAATAGTTGAATTTCCACATAATGCCTTATAACGTGATTATTAGCATTCACGTGGACGATGGCCAATTTAGCACTCCTTGACCCGGACTCAAAGTAGCGCCGGTCGTCAACCGGACTGCGTGACAACATCTGAGGCATTCTCTTAGACATCACGCATAACTTTCTTGAAGATGATATTGTAATGGATTCCTCTAGTCAGTATCACAACCATTCTGCTGATACAACTCCGCTTGTGAAACCCCAATAATTAGCCGTTCCAGGATCATTTCCTTTATGCCTTATCTTGGTACTGCGAGTCGCTGCTGCCCTGCGTCAGGAATATTTAACGATCTTCCGGTCGAGCTGTGGAAAGAGAAGGATATATGGAGATAAGATGAAGTGCGGTATTGTGATCTTTTTTTTCTAATAGGAGTTTAGGAGAGAACCTGTAGCTGACGTAAGGACAGGGTTGCCAAGCTCTGAAGTGCTTTACTGGGAACTGTAAAAAACTAGTTTTTTCATTCGGGCTCTGTCGCGTTCATCTCCAATGTTTTTTTGTAGAAGAATCTGTCCATTTGGAATACTTTTTTTTTTTCAACAGGAAACTAAGTAAAGTTTCACCGCGCTCGTTCCTGTTTACCAACAGGAAACTTTGTAAGTCAAGATAAGTATAAAATTAAAGTGTAGGTTAGTCAAGATTAGTAAATAGTTAAACTAATTTTTGTTTTATATCTTAATGCTACTTCCTCCGACTTTATCCAAAGCTGTCCAAAATGTGTAAGTGCTAGTAAAGGAATATGGAATTACGCAAAGAAGAAAAATGTAAATTTTAATCTTGTTTGGTAATACAAATTTTTATGTATGCTATTAGACATCCAGTTTCTACTATTTACGTTAACTATTTCATTTTCGTTTTTCTTTGCTTATTTTCTTCAAAAACTTCATCGTTCTTACTTCTATTTTCTATGCCTTTTGTTTTCCTTCAATTTCTTCTCATTTTTTTTCAATGTATTTTCTGATTTGTTTTTCATTTTTAATATGTTGGAACTATTCTAGACAATACTCTGTGAATTATAATTTTCGTAATAATTTTATGAAATACTTACTGCGAACATATCTCGTCGTAAAAATATAGTCTATTCATTTGAACAGTTTGAAATTATGAAATGCATTTTTTTGTGTTTTATACCTTAAACTAATAATATTATATTTTTAAAAGCTGTAAAAACTGTAAAAACTAAGCAATATATTTGCCGATGGTGATGCGTCAACAAGATGTAGGCCACTCAAAATAGCGTCGTGCAGAAACCAAGCTTGCGAATGTGTGTATGATTGTTAAAAACGGTGCTTATAGCAATTTGCTTCTGTGCCATTAAAAAGCTTCGTAAAACTCATTTTACTTACATATTTAAACAATTTTATGTGTGGACCTTGAGAAAGCATGTGACAATGTACCTATGAATAAATTTTAACCATCTGTAAAACAATTAGAGGAGATGTCAAAAATACAACATTGTAATTGGTTTTTTAAATATATTTAGGGGATAATATATAAAAAGTTGTGGAAAGTAAATAAACTAAACGAAATAACATATTATTTCTATTTATTACTAAATGGAATTGACTTGAATGAACAAAATCAGTTAGTAGGGAGTCAAACCTAGAATAATGAGAAATACAAGGAAAGAAAAATGCCAAGAAGACAAGTAATATCTAGCTTAAAAAAGGAATATGAAAATTATCAGAGACTTACGAAGATTTGATTGAACAAAATTGAACAGCAAAATGCTGCAAAGGTGGGGATAGATAGATTGACGTAGGGAGCTTGTTGGAAACATTTTTAGTTGATATGTTGTTAAATATTTTACTTTTATATAATTTAATGTTACCAAAGAAATCCAAACTTACTGGTCTATCTTCCTCCAAAGTGGGAAGCAGATCGTCTGTAGAATGGGGGCTGGGTGTGGGGGCAATTCTAATGGTAGAGTTCGTGCTAGATAGTTTCGAAAACCGACGCTCTAGCTCCCTCTCTTCTTTTTCTTTTCGCTCCCTCTCGTATCTTCTAGTACTATAGCTGCGGATAGAAGTGGCGCTATGGACCGATGCAATACTCGGCCGACGAGAGCCTGAGGAAACACCATGTGAGATTTTATCTGGCATTATAGCTAAGTTGGAAGCGATTAAGGTTAGCAGAAGAGTTAATACTAATTCATGTTACACATTACACATTATTCAAAGATTTATGTATTTGTGCCATTTATTTACTTCAAAAAGCATTGTATTATTTTTTCGTCTGTTAAACTTCTAAACTATCTAATGTCTTTCTATTCTGATATATTTTCGAAATAAGTCTTTTAAACAAAAAGAAGTATTACAACAAAAGAAAGTAATTTTTACCGATGAAAATAAATATATAGTCCAGTCACTGACCATTTTCCCACATAATTTTCTGAGCCTGCACCGATTTGCACCAAAATTTGGCTATAGGTTCTACTTTTCCTCAACTTTAAAGTTTTTACCTTGGGGATGCTACCCCTTCTTGTGGATGACATCCCATTTTTTTATTAATAATAACACGGGGAATAAATATATTAAGCAATTTTAAGCAATTTTTGTTTTATACATTTTTTTTTGTGAAAGTCAATATTCTACTAATTTGAAATTCCAAATAAGCAAAACAATTTTTCTGTTTTTTGCAACCTACTCAAAAAGTGTGTATTTTAGTAAAAAATTATTTTTATAAAACATGTAGGTTATAAAAAACATAAAGAATGGTAAGCTTATGGTGTCTGTAATCCAAATATAAAGCCCAAAATGTCTTGTTGAAAGTTAATTCTTCTTCACCACACGGCAAAATTAAAAAATTCAAATTAAAATACGAAAACAACCAATACAGTTTTCAAGGAAAACTAATAGACCTTATGTGTAGTGCTTGAAAAATCTTCATTTTTCTATCAATATTAAAGGCTAGGATGACACGCCATACAGTTTGTCCGGGACCTAGGAAAGAAATTTGAACTACTAACTGATATTTCAATTCTACTTGATAATTTATCCTTACTTGGACATTTATCTCAGTAATTTTTCGTCACTAATTAATTTTATTCTTTCGCAAAATTGCTTAACATATAGGTTACTGTTATTGTAACGTAAGATATATTAAACCAAATAATTTATAGCTTTATGTTAGGAGTGAAGGGGTTATACCGTTTCTGCCTCATTTCCCATTTAATATCCCATAAGAAATGCTAAGGTTCATTCTGCTTGTTTTTCAGTGTTTTGTAGTGGGGGTAGAATAGTTCGTCGGATCAGAAAAACACACATTGCCAAACGGGCATTGTATCATATATCCGTTGTTATTGGTCCG